GAGTTCAGATTTCGCTTTCAAAATTAGCTGGAGTTTTTGTAAAATTGCCAAACAATTTTCTCTGATCTGCAACTCTACCCTCATCTTTAGCCTTGTCCTCAGTTAATAGCCCTTTTTCTGCTTATCAAGGAGAAGGAAAGCTTAACATTATTTTGGTTTTTTGGCTGAAGTTTCAGCAGTGTGATTAATTCTCACCCCAGGATAAAGTGTAAGAGAAACAGCTCTTTTTAGTTTAAAAAAACTGAGGAAGTTTTTGCTGACAAATTATCAGTATGGTGGTTATACGGGTCCAAAACCCACTCTAATTTTAGCAGAAGCTGGCTGAATTGGTACATTTAAATATGAAAAAAATTTGAAAAGCTGCATATAGAGCAAATTTTTGACTATACGCCCGGGTTGACCTCCATACACCGAAAATGCTTATCATACAATTCCATACATCAAGTGTGTGGAAAAATGCTTGTCATACAATTTTCATACAATTTCTAAAAATGGTTGAAAAGAGATAAAAACTTATTTGTGGCTGAACTTACTTGTCGTTCTGAGATGTATTTATGAAATAATCATTTGAAAGCTGAACTTTGATTTTTCAGAAAAATAAGATACGCATCTAGGCACTAATCTGTTTTAGTTGCATCCCTTTTAGTTGCATAATCGATTATCTTTCTAACTAAACTAATAGTGAGAAAAGTTGAAACGTCTCAAAAAGTGAGCACGACAGATTCAAATTTATGTGAACAATTTTAATGTTTTCACAACAGCAAGCCCGCAAGTTTACTCAAAAGACCCGCGAATTGGTTGAAAAAAGTTGAAGCAAAGTAATTAGAATTTAACTTAGTTTATTGGACCAGAAGCAAAAACGAGCTCTCTGATAGCAAACTTAGGGAGACTGATACAAATCCGAGTTTTGTTTTTGTTGTAACATTTATTGGCAAATTGAAGTTTTCAAGTCTGTAGTTGAGAGACTCTAACCAATTCGCCTACAGATCGCAGTCTTTGGTATATAATTCAGTGTAGCCCGGGAACCTCTTATCATACAATTCCCATTATGAGAAACTTCTTGTCATACAATTCCAGCATTACTTTTGTTATATCAATTGTAAAAGACAGCATTGTAATGCATTCTATGCATTGTAAATGCAAAGACCGTCCGACCTTCGGTGCTTTGAGTAACCAAGGTCTTTGTCACTTGTTTTCGGCTGCGAACACAACCGAAAATTTTTCAGAAAATAAATTTAGAAAGAAAAAATGAAACTTTTTGCTGTAAAATAATTAAAATTTAAAACATTTAATTTAAAAATTTAAAATTTTGGTTTAAAATTTGAAAAAATCACCAGTAAAAAATTTTGCCAAAATCTAAAAGTTTGTTACTTTTGTTATTTCATTTGTGAAAGACAGCATTGACAGACATTGATCAGTCAAATATGAACATATCCATACAAAGGAAATAGGAACTTTCAGCGTTTTTGAAGAAAAAAATTAAGTCAAAAGAAAATAAAAGCCAATATTATTGTATCCAGGGTTGCGTTATGCACACAAAAAAGCACAAAAAATGTAAACGCAAAGACCGTCCAACCTTCGGTGCTTTGAGTAACCAAGTTCTTTGTAACTTGTGTTCGGCTGCGAACACAACCGAAAAATTTTCAGAAAATAAATTTAGAAAAAAAAATAAAACTTTTTGGTTTAAAATAATTAAAATTTAAAAAATTTAATTTAAAAATTTAAATTTTTGGTTTAAAATTTAAAATAATCACCATTAAAAAATTTTGCCAAAATCTAAAATTTTGTTACTTTTATTATATCAATTGTGAAAGACAGCCGTGGTAAACAGCCGTGGAATTCCCGAGGTAAACCAATTGTAAATGCAAAGACCGTACAACCTTCGGTGCTTTGAGTAACCAAGGTCTTTGTCACTTGTGTTCGGCTGCAAACACAACCAAAAAATTTTCAGAAAATAAATTTAGAAAGAAAAAATGAAATTTTTTGGTTTAAAATAATTGAAATTTAAAATATTTAATTTAAAAATTTAAATTTTTGGTTTAAAATTTAAAATAATCACCATTAAAAAATTTTGCCAAAATCTAAAAATTTGATACTTTTGTTATATCAATTGTGAAAGACAGCCGTGGTAAACAGCCGTGGAACTCCCGAAGTAAAACAATTGTAAATGCAAAGACCGTCCATTCTTCGGTGCTTTGAGTAACCAAGTTCTTTGTCACTTGTGTTGGGCTGCGAACACAACCGAAAAATTTTCAGAAAAAAAATTTAGAAAAAAAAATGAAACTTTTTGATTTAAAATAGTTACAATTTAAAACATTTAATTTAAAAATTTAAATTTTTGGTTTAAAATTTAAAATAATCACCATTAAAAAATTTTGCCAAAATCTAAAAATTTGTTACTTTTGTAATATCAATTATGAAAGACAGCCGTGGTAAACAGCCGTGGAACTCCCGAAGTAAAACAATTGTAAATGCAAAGACCGTCCATTCTTCGGTGCTTTGAGTAACCAAGGTCTTTGTCACTTGTGTTCGGCTGCAAACACAACCAAAAATTTTTCAGAAAATAAGTTTAGAAAGAAAAAATGAAACTTTTTGGTTTAAAATAATTAAAACTTAAATAATTTAATTTAAAAATTTAAAATTTTGGTTTAAAATTTCAAATAATCACCATTAAAAAATTTTGCCAAAATCTAAAAATTTGTTACTTTTGTTATATCAATTGTGAAAGACAGCCGTGGTAAACAGCCTTGGAACTCCCGAAGTAAAACAATTGTAAATGCAAAGACCGTCCATTCTTCGGTGCTTTGAGTAACCAAGTTCTTTGTCACTTGTGTTGGGCTGCGAACACAACCGAAAAATTTTCAGAAAAAAAATTTAGAAAGAAAAAATGAAACTTTTTGATTTAAAATAGTTACAATTTAAAACATTTAATTTAAAAATTTAAATTTTTGGTTTAAAATTTAAAATAATCACCATTAAAAAATTTTGCCAAAATCTAAAAATTTGTTACTTTTGTAATATCAATTGTGAAAGACAGCCGTGGTAAACAGCCGTGGAATTCCCGAGGTAAACCAATTGTAAATGCAAAGACCATCCAATCTTCGGTGCTTTGAGTAACCAAGGTCTTTGTCACTTGTGTTCGGCTGCAAACACAACCAAAAATTTTTCAGAAAATAAGTTTAGAAAGAAAAAATGAAACTTTTTGGTTTAAAATAATTAAAACTTAAATAATTTAATTTAAAAATTTAAAATTTTGGTTTAAAATTTCAAATAATCACCATTAAAAAAATTTGCCAAAACCTAAAATTTGTTACTTTTGTTATATCAATTGTGAAAGACAGCATTGACAGACATTGATCAATCCATATATAAACACCTCCATACAAAGGAAATAGGAATTTTCAGCGTTTTTGAAGAAAAAAATTAAGTCAAAAGAAAATAAAAGCCTTATCGTATCCAGGGTTATGTTATGCACAGAAAAGGTTAAATTTTGCACGCGAAAATTTTTTTCAAAAAATGTTTGTTTGCGTACGAAAATCGATTTGCGGTTGAAAAAAAACAAAAAATTTTTGGGCCAAATTTTCAAAATTACTTGAAAAATTTTTGTGAATGCCAGTCATACATTTTCCATATATGGGAATTGTATGATAAGCATTTTTTTCAAAAAACGAAAATCTCAGTTTTTTTTACCAGACTGTTTTTTTAGAATCAAACTGCCACAGAACTAAATTTATATCTTTTTTCAACCATTTTTAGAAATTGTATGAAAATTGTATGACATGCTTTTTGCCACACACTTGATGTATGGAATTGTATGATAAGCATTTTTGGTGTATCGAGGTCAACTCCGATGTCTTATACTTTTTGATTTAAGATTGGTTTTTCAGAAGTTAACGGATTGCTTTTCTGAATGTTGTCAAAATAGTAAGCTTGCTACAAAAAAAAATCTAAATCAAATCAGGAGTCTGGCTAACAGTAAAACTTTGTATCATAATTGAATGATTTTTTTAACAGACTGTTTTGATTTTCTTTTGACTAGTTTTGTCTATTTTGGGTACCTTTTTTTGATAACTCTGTTGGAAAACCCAGTTTTCCAATGCAACAGTTTGATAAGAGGTAGCTTTTCGTTGGTGTGTTGTGTTTTCAGTAATCTGCTCACACCGACTCATCTACTCACACCAAAAATTGTCTGTTAACGCAGAGAATCTGCTGGTCTTAAAAATCTGTTGCCCTCAAAACAGCAACAAGACTGCTAATAACAAGGTTTTTGACTGTTCTGACTGTTCTGTAACGACTATTGAACAAATTTAATTTAGAACAAACAGTTTGACAAGAGAGTTACTTGTTTGAATTTATTTAAAAATAAAATTCCGAAAGAAGTTCACAGAAATTTTGCTGATAGTAACAAGTCCGTAAGAACAAATAACCCACCGCAATTCAATTTGATTTTTTTCTTAATTTTTGAGCTCAGGACATTTATACCCTTCGGATAGTACAAAACAATTCCACTCAAAACTGGTAGTTACTTTTTCGACATTTCTCACAATTAAAAATGTCAACCGAACACAAATGATCCATCAATTTTGTCGAAAGCTTGAAAAATAAAGCTTGAAATTCAATAGCATTTCTGATTAAAAAATCATCAAAAACGCATTTGAAAATTGACAAGAGAGAACCAACCGTGAAAAGTCGTAAGACGCTTGCGTAGAGGTGAAACTGAAAACTTGAGAGCTTGCGTTAACCGAATTTTTAGATTTTGCGCCAAATGTTCGGCCATATAATCTCAATTCTTTACATGGTACAATTGTCACCAGTATACACTCGGTACAAAACGTTCACGTCAAACTAAATCAGCAAAACGCACGAAATTAGAGTTAATAATTTTTTCTCAACCAAACGTCTGTGCAAAAGTTACATCATGGTTGCTTTGACTCGGTTTATAACAAATATAGCTTGATTACTACGAATATAAACAGAACGCACAAGAATCATGCAAAAAAAACGTGCTTTTCACACAAGACCAACAAAATGCGTGTTCATTGTTTCATTGGTAAACAAAAATATCTTATACTGGTAGAAGCTTTGAATCGCTTAGTTTCGTAGTTTTTTCTGTTTACGTTGTTGACTGGCGAATCGTCAACGGGTGAGTTTAACAACACTGAAAGTTGAAATCTAATCTTATACTTTTTCCAGAACAATTAGACTGAAAACTGAAAAAAATAAAAAGTCAGTTGAGCAAAAAAGATTGAATACTTTTCTCAGATAAAGAGAACTCAGTTTTGCTGACCCAGGAATAACGAAAAAAACCTGAAAGTTTTAAAGCTGAAACAGTAAAATCTCGCTTCTCTAATTTGCAGTGCGTAAATTGTAATTTTTTCCAAAATTGTATTACTTTTCTGATGCCAAAATTGACTACAATTAATATTTTAAACTGTTATCCGAAGTAGGACCTCGCCATAAACCATCATTGAAATTGAGTTTTTTTGATCATAGTTTCCAGATAAATCAGAATAAGTTATACAGATCAAAGTTGGTATGTCGGTGTTTTCTCGAGCTGTACATATTTTTTAAAGACTATCAAATTAATTTCGTTTTTCTTTGTTAAACTGATTCATGTTTACAGTCGTTCGATTGTCATCAAAATTTCGTTTTCAATAGTTAATTGCTTAAACGTTGTTTTATCCCAGAGGAGAACCGGTGCTACTTGGTGTACTTGTGTTTGGTTTGATTTTTCTTCAGAGTTAGTTGAAATGACAAATGGGATTTTTGTCAATTAATCAGTTTTCTGAAATTCCTTCTTTCAATATAGTTTCGACTATCTTGATCTGTCCTTTTTTCTTTTTTGAATGTTCAAACATACATTTTTGATGGTAAGTTCTTATATCACATGGAAAATTTCGATAGTCTGAGCTCTAATTTAAAAAGATAATTTTCAGGTTTAGACCAAGTTGAGATAATTAGGGCGTAAAATTCTTCGTTCAGTAAGAGAATACGTCTCAGATATCCGAATTGAAATGGTGCATGCTAGTTTTTTTATAACTGTTACTTTTGTTTATACTTCAACATAATTTTCAGGTTTAGACCAAGTTGAGATAATTAGGGCGTAAAATTCTTCGTTCAGTAAGAGAATACGTCTCAGATATCCGAATTGAAATGGTGTATGCTAGTTTTTTTATAATTGTTACTTTTGTATATACTTCAACATAATTTTCAGGTTTAGACCAAGTTGAGATAATTAGGGCGTAAAATTCTTCGTTCAGTAAGAGAATACGTCTCAGATATCCGAATTGAAATGGTGCATGCTAGTTTTTTTATAATTGTTACTTTTGTATATACTTCAACATAATTTTTAGGTTTAGACCAAGTTGAGATAATTAGGGCGTAAAATTCATCGTTCAGTAAGAGAATACGTCTCAGATATCCGAATTGAAATGGTGCATGCTAGTTTTTTTATAATTGTTACTTTTGTATATACTTCAACATAATTTTCAGGTTTAGACCAAGTTGAGATAATTAGGGCGTAAAATTCTTCGTTCAGTAAGAAAATACGTCTCAGATATCCGAATTGAAATGGTGCATGCTAGTTTTTTTATAATTGTTACTTTTGTATATACTTCAACATAATTTTCAGGTTTAGACCAAGTTGAGATAATTAGGGCGTAAAATTCTTCGTTCAGTAAGAGAATACGTCTCAGATATCCGAATTGAAATGGTGCATGCTAGTTTTTTTATAATTGTTACTTTTGTATATACTTCAACATAATTTTCAGGTTTAGACCAAGTTGAGATAATTAGGGCGTAAAATTCTTCGTTCAGTAAGAGAATACGTCTCAGATATCCGAATTGAAATGGTGTATGCTAGTTTTTTTTATAATTGTTACTTTTGTATATACTTCAACATTATGTTGAGTGATAATTTTTCTGTTGTTCCCTTATTTTCAAAAGTAGTAGGGTTTTCGATATCCAAGACTATCTACTTCAACGACATTAAGAATCAGTTGAAACATTCAGGAAGTCATCCTGATACGATCGGTTTTCGTCATTTTCCTATTTTTGTTTTGGAAGTACTATTTGCAAGTCTTCTGTAACATTTGATTCAAATTAATAATCAAAAATTTTCATAATCAGCACACTTTTTAAAATCTAGAATTGAATTCATTAGTAGCTATTAATCTTTGTTCAGGTTACCTGACGTGGTCGAAATTGATAAAAAATTACAAACAGCTAAAGCATCTATGCAACTTCATTTTAAGTTATGATAGGTGATGATTAGTTGGAGTAATGATAAAAATGCACGCATGCGATTAGAAAAATTTTAGTTTTTGTAAATCAAACTTATGAATATAGGCAACGGATTTCCATAGATAATAAAAGATCCATTGTCGTTTTACAAACAATTTCTTGACAACTCTAAAATAGTTGATTTCAATTGATTTAAATCGGATTATATTGCTCCTATAATAATTAAAAGTAATCATTTTCTCCCGAAAACAGTCAGACATTGGCAAACATGTTTCACCAAACATAACTTGGTTGTTGTTCGTGCACAACAGGGGTTAAATAGCTGATTTTACATTGATTACCAAATCTTATCTTGTTTTCTAATTTATCTCTTTATTTTTTGTTACCTTTTTTCTATCTGGACCTTTTTGCTTTCTTACAGTTTGCTGCCTATAGTATATTTTTACAATTTTATAATAAGAGTTTTAAAATAAATCGTTTTTTTTTCAATTGCTCTGGAAAACTTTTTTTAAAATGCTCTGGGAATTTTTTTTAAATGCTCTGGGAAGGAAAATGTGTAAAAACTCAAATTGTTATAACGCCGAGAAAAATTTGATTCATTTAACTCAAGTGTAACTCCCAACCTCGTACCAATCCCCCACCAATCCCCCTCCAGGGGGAGGATAGTTAGGGATGGAATGCTGGCAGTATTAATGGATGTTAGAGACGAGGGGTCCATGTATGTGCAGGGAAGTGGATTTTTTTTGTGTTGGTTTTGGTGCTAAGATCGGAGACGAAAAAAATATTGTTTGGCCTGTTTAATCAACTTCGCGAAAACTTTTGAACACTCTTGGATTAAGTATTGGGTGAGAGGCATTTAATTTGGAATGATTTGTACATCTTTTTGTAAAGGTGTGAAACGGTAATGGTTTCTTTTTGTAAGGGTAATGGTTTCTAATGGTGTGTACATATTTTTGTAAGTGTTTGAAATCATTGTAATAGCTTTTAAAAAATTTCATCGATTGTAATGTTTTTAAAATCATAATTGAAAAAATTGATTATAAATTTTAATACAAAAATGCATCATAATTGATTATTATCCATGATGTGATCCCAAAGTGTAATTATAACTGATTGCAATGGCAGCACTTAGAACACGAAAATCGATTTTGATCTGTTATCATCCAATAAATTTCATTGCGGTTTATTCATTTAATCAATTGAAATCGTTTTTTGTCAATTTATAAAACATAATTTTCAAGTTAGCCTAGAAAAATTTAGAGATTAGAAATTGGAAATTTTTTAACGCTGGCTAATCACCTCTCATTTTCATGTCTATAAAGGAAAATTACCAGAAAATTTCTCGCTTTGATAACTGTTCTAGATAGTCGAATACTCTGTTTTTTTTTGCTGGCAGTTCTTTGCTCTACAATTGGTTTTATTCTGATACCTTTCTGTTATAACTAGTCTCGAGTCTAATAAAAAAACTCCTCATTACGTAACGCTACCTATTTTTTTCCCTTTTTTTGAAACAAAGTAGTTTTTTTCTTTGTTTTGACTTTTATTCGTACTACAGCTTTTTTTTCATGTTTAAATGGTCAATATTACTCTTAGATGAGTGCAACCTAAGTACACCCGCCCCGCCTTTTTTTATCTTGCAAATCTCTATGTCTATTAATCTAAACTTACCTGCGAGCCAGACTCCCTGATGCATGGGTAACAGATGAGAGTAAGCGTACAATTTTACCACAAAGAAATAATTTTTACGTTTGGAACTTACATTGGTTACAAGTTTTCCTTATGTTGAGTTGTAACTTAATCATGGACCTTGGATTTTCTCTCAAGGGGAGTGGATTTAAAAAAAAATTAAAAGTTTTGTCAACCTTTTTTTAAGTCAACCAAATTGATTATCTGACCTCTCCCAAATCACTATAAAGACCACATTTTGACCAAACTTTCAGCCCTATTTTTATCACAAGTTTTGAAAAAAAAGTCAAAAAAGGCCTTTTATGGCACATTTTGGAAAAATTTTATCAAAAAAAAAACGTTTTTTTTTGGCGCGCACTCCCCCTCAAATTAATTGTATTTTGGCGGCAAATGCGACTTTAGAAAAGTTCAGGCTTAATCAGACAAAAATAGATATCTCAAAAAAGTACAAGGGTCGGCAGGGTGATCATGGATATAATCCTAAATATTGATTCTTTTATCTTCTAATTCAATTTCGCTATCTGAGACGCAGTTGCGGATAAGCCGTCAATTATTTCAATCTTGATTTTTCTTCCTTAATTAGAGCTGGTCCATCCTTTTTTAAACATTCCCATGTTCTCAGAGAACATTTTTTTTTCCATTTCATCAGAAAAACAAATCTAAATTAGGTTTTATATCAAGCTGAAATCATGAACTCACGGTATCAACAATAGCTTTTTCTTAACCGAAGCAATTTCCAAAGATGACATCAGTTTAACAAATAGCGTGGCTGAATGGCGAAAATTGAAAAGATCACTGTTCAAGAATGGGCTTTTGATGTCGTTCAGCTATTAAGGTTGGTTTTTATTTGTTGGTACTTTTTTCAGATCCGCTTAATGAGCCTATGATGAAAAATTATCGCCACAGAATTGTTTTTCTCCTCTCTTCAAGGGATAAATAACATATTGTGCCGCTCCTAACTTTCTTCAACATCACTAGCGCCGAGCTTTTCATCCTGATTTTCAAGCAAACAGATTGTGTTGTCCAAAATTGTCATCCAACGTTCATAGCATCAAGGATAATCAAATGTTTGCTGAATTATTTGCTTTATCTTCCATTTTTACAAAACAGTCTATGTCCATCAATGCATATATTCACAATGATAGAAATTGGTTTTTGATCGGTTTTTAGCATTCTAAACATTGTTTGATCAAGCTTAAAAATATTGCAAAGACCTGAAAAAGCTTCGAGCTTAAAATGAATATTTATAGTCTTTTTTGGAGGGTCAAAAAAATAAACTATTTAAAAGAATTAATATTGCCGTCAGGTTAAATTTAGTTTTTAAGAGCAGAACATAGACGTAAGGATCACCATCAAAAGATAAAACAACACAGAAACATTTCAAAGGCAGCAAATGGCTCAGAAAGATGATGGATTAGACCTAAGTGGAGTTACAAGAAAGCACCTAGAGGATGAAATAACCCGACAACTGCAAACAGATTTCAAATACAAGGGAAACATCAGTGGGTTACCGGGAAGTGGCCAAAAGGACCAGGAAAAAGAAATGGTACGTAGTTTTTCTTTGTTTTATATTTGTTCGTCCTCTTCGTCTTCAGAACGTTCGCAAGGAGTGATAAAAGTTAACTCTTAACCATGTCAATTTACATACAACATGTTTTTGTCAACACGCAAGAAAAATCTCTCTGGTATCACCTAAATAAAATGGATTTCGAATGTTAAGTGTCCAAAATGCTTGCTTATGATCCGAATACAATTTGACAAATTGCATATTTAGATTATAATTTTTTCATTGCTGAGAAACGGTCATTTTTTAGCTCTCGTCTTTAGTTCATTTTTTCAATTCTCGACCATGAAGACGGATGCGCCAACGGATGTCTTATTTTTTCTAAGGACTAATCTTCAATATTACGAGAAGTGATTCTAACTTGTACAAAAATTAAAATTTTTATTTTATATGGAAAGTACAAAAATTAAATGAAGAAAACTTGAAGAAAAAACTGGAAGCATTAGTTTCAAACTATTCATAAGCAAAAACAAAAACTGAGAGCTAATTGGATATGGTTTTTTTTCTTTTCCAAATGCATATCATTTTCGTTCAGCAAGCTCATCTTCTCTTCTACGTATTTTCTTGGCGAATTACTATTTTTAGAAGAAGAAAAAAAGTTCGTAGTATACTTAAACAAGAACTACTAAAAATAGTTCTCTCATTAGTCTCTCATTTTGTAATTTCTGATTCTTTTTTAGCAATATGACAAAAAATAACATGATATTTTTTGTATAGTTTCACAATAGTCACAATATAAGAAGTTTATTTCGATCTGTTTGTAGAAAACTTATCCAAGCCATTGCAGCAGATCATCGGATGTTCAAACTTAATAAAATTGATTGCAAAGACCTGGAAAACGTTGAGCTTAGTTTGAAACTTTTAACGCATTTTTGGGGATAAAAAAATTAAACTATTCGTAAGAATCAAAATTGCTATATTAAATTTAGTTTTTAAAAGCAGAACTTGGACAAAAGAACAACCCAAAAAGGAAGTAACAAAACAGGAACATTTCAACGGCAACAAATGGCACTGAACGATGAGGAGCTAGACCTCAGTGGAGTTACAAGAAAGCACAAAGAAGATGAAATAACCCGAAAACAGCAAACAGCTAACAAATCCCAAGAAAAACCTAGCTGGTTATCAGATAGCAACCTGGAAAACCAGGAAGAAAACCAGGTGCGTCGTTTTTCTTCGTTTTATATTTGTTCGACCTTTTTATTCTAAAATTGAATGTTCGAAAGGAGTAGTAAAGCTTACAGATTAGATCTTTATATTTTTTTTGCGTTCCACTTAGGTTTGCCAACACACAAGCAAAATCAACCTGGTATCACATAAATTAATAAGAAGTCGAATATTAAGTGTCAAAACTTGCGTAATATGATTTTCTACATTTTTAGAGCCTTATGAGTGTATAAATTCTATTGCATAGACTGCGCATGTGAGCTTCTTTCTTCAATCTTGCTAATTTCCTTCCCTTTTTCAGGGTTTGGGATTGTGGATTGCATTTACTACTATTTTTGACGAGGCAGTTTTTCTAAATTCAGTGTCGTTATCAACTTTTGTTTTGAAGAGTTTGATTGAAACCAGCCATAAAAGTGAAAAAGCTGGTGAGTGGAGGATTTTTTATCCTCTCATATCTAGAGAACTACGCTATCTCACAGCAGATGTAATACCGAATTTGAGTTTCTTTCAACGGACAACACCTGTTCCTCACCATATCCGCCTTCTGGTTAGCAGCTTATATAAACCTATGAAACAAGCCGTTAAATTAACGGGAGACATGATTCCAACCTCTATCATAAAACGTGAAACTGGATTGTTTCGTGATGACCCTGATCAAAGTCTTGAACAGAATGTGAACACAATTATCGATACCATCAACAAACTCACCAGAAAACGCGAATATACAGCGAAAAACATTCAGATGGAACTGGCCCATCCAAAATTGAAAGTATCTCAGGCAAAATTGGATGAGCAAATTCAACCAGATGTAGAAATTTTCATACCGCAAACTGCGAAGCGCCTTTATAGACAATACGAAATGCGTGTTTTCGAAGAATTCAAATTCAGCGAAATTTTCAAACAAGATTTTCAAAGTTTGAATTTGAGCGCTGAAGACCTGATTCTGATACTTCACGAAATTTTGAAATTGCAACAGAATAATTTGTTAAACTGTGAAACGCAGCTGACAAACTATTTACACCAGAGCAATTTAAACGAAAGGCTACTCCTCGATTTTGCGTTTCCATACATGCGAGATGAAATTCAATTTAAAATTATGCAATATCTCAGGGAATCAATTGAGATGCTAGAGAAAGCCATTGAAAAGGCTCCGGACTCGGCCAACAAATCAGTTTCATGTCAACTCCAGTGGAACCTCGACAGGACCACAGAAAATCTCAAATTACACGTTATCGAAAGACTGCTTGCAGTCGAACAATGCTTTGAGGAAGAGATTAGTTCAAGGCGAGAAATGTTGAGCAAGGTAGGGAGTTTTTAAATAACAGAATTAGAAAATTATTGACTGATGTTAAAATTGAACCGATTGTATAGATAGTAAGAAAAAGGTGCCACTATGAAAAAATTCTAAAAATTAACATTTCAGTAAACGTGTAAGCATCACTAATTGATTTGAGTTTTCTTAAGTTTCAACTTTACATTAAAATTGACTCGATGATTAAATTTTTTATTTTTATTTCGGTATCTATAAATTGCTATTTAACATTTTTCTAAAACACTCTAGATAAATCTATAAAATCAAATCATCTGCAGGCTTGGATTGTAGAAATCAAGAAAATATTAAGTATTATGGTTGCAATGCTTTTTATAATGAAGACATATCAGAATCTATATGCGCCCTCAATTTGGCCTGCCGAGCAAAAATGAACAGAGAAAGTCTTTTTCACAATCATTGTCTATTCTTCATTTGATTTTAATCTGTAACATGTGATCACAGGTAACCTCTGACGACTCGGACGCACTGAAAAAAAAAGTGAAATCTGATGGCTCCACGGAAGAAGCAGCTGGTGAGTATCCGTGCCGGCCAAAAAAAATACAAAAGATGCAAAGTCAATTGTTTTTGAAACCATAAATATAGAAATTACAATTTTTTTGTTTTCCAGCTCAAACGAATGCTGTTCATTTTTGATTAAAAAAGTGGGCATCCCGAGCAAAAATTTGGTCATGCAAATTATCCTGGGGAAAAAGTTTTGGTTTCGTTTCAATCAGCCTACCCCTTTTAGGGGGTAGGAAGAAAAAAAACATCTTTTGTCGAATGTTTTTCCCCGAATTTGATGCTAAGATTATTCGTAATGGATTCGGATTCCAGAAACAAATTTCAAAAAGTTTAATTTGCGTTGACGAAAACTGGCCGAAATGTTTTGCTTTTCTGCCTGAATTCATTCTGCTGCAATTTTAAAGTTTTAAGTAGATTTATGTATTTTTCGAAGTTTCTCCTTCTTCGGTCACCTTTTACAAGAAATTTTTCAAAGTAAATTAGGTAAAAAAAACATTTTGGAACATTTTGTGCTATTCGAATGGCAACCAGCTCTATTTGTTTCTTCTAAAAAGTACTGATTCTGATTTTCAGTAAATTGACTTAACTAAACAAGCAAAATTTGAAAAAGTAAAATACAGTTTTTTTTCACATTGATGCCAAAATTAAGTTTGCCAAGTTACTAAGGGTTTTTCTTGCAGATTGCAATACTAAACATAACAGTTTCCAAAAAGAGTCGCCTGCTTGTTGAGCAAAGTTTTTTTTGCATTTTTGAGACTTTTCTTCTTTTCCACAAATTCAGTTTTGCGCTTTGTGGCAAAGTTTTTATATAAGGCCAACCTTTTCCTATAAAATTTAATTGATAGCGAGTTTCCTACAAGATTACACTTGAAATTGGCATCAATTTGCTTCCATTTAGTTTATTGTTCCGCCTTTCGAAAAAACTGAGGAATATATATATATATATATATATTTATATATGCGGGGCGGTTTTTTGTATTCAGACCGATTTTAGAACAGTTGACTGCGTATAAATACGTATGCGGGGCGATTTTTTGTATTCAGACCAATTTTAGAACAGTTGACTGCGCATGCGATTCGATCCGGAAATCTTGAGTTTGTCAAGCGTGTTTGCTTGCACTAGACTACAGTGCTGCAGTTGTGCTGGAATAATACTTTGATAGTTTGTTGCAATACGCAAAATATTATGCGTGGCAATTTATCCGCACTCATAAATGTTCTAAAATGAAATGAGGCAAGCTAATTGGTCTTATTAATTCCATAAACTACATTACGAGGCCAAACTGTGCACTTGGATATGCGCACATTTTTGTGTCAAGTTGTTCCTGGATTCCAGATACAAGTCTTTAAACCTGATGAAACTTTGTCAGAACAATCAAAGATAAGGAAATAATGATAAAAAACAAACGGACCGTCCGTGTTTAAACTCACAAAATGCACAGTTGGGCCTCGTAACGGATTCAAATTTTAAAACTTTTATACGCCTAAAAGTTGTAGTTTGTCAATATTTCATATACCAAAAGCGGGGGTCCTTGGCAAACGTTCAAAATTCTCTTTTTTTTCCGACTTTCGTAATAAAAGTCACGGAATAATTGCGCTGGAAGTGTTTTTTTCTTCAGACAAAACTCGACTTTTTAACTAGCCATTTTTGCGATTTTTTGATGGCTCGCGATATATATACCGCTATTAACGCGAAAGCGGAGATTTAACCCGTCCGTAGAAATCGTTCAAAAATGGTTGAAGGAAGCCTGTTTGCAAAATTGATTTTAATAGGAGCGAAATCTATCACTTTATACTTTATACGCGGGGTGGGGGGATGATTTTTACAAAAACTCTTAAATTTAGAAAATAAAAAAATTTCATTCTATTTTTTTACAATTAATTTTTTCATTTCATTGCTGCTTCATAGACCTTGAAAGGCAGTCAGAAAGGATTTTGCCTTTATACGAACTGTCTTGTTATATTTTAATTAAGATAGCCATGTCAAACTAAACAATCATTAGGATGAAAGATGATAGAGACACATATTTTTATGTATGTGAAAGTAGAACAGGAGAAAAAACTTAATCTTTTTGCTTAGATACAGAAGAAAAAGAGAATGTTGAGTTAGGGGAACAAACATGGAAGTTTCATTCCACAAATTTAACTGAAAAAGGGAAGATAGTTGCATTCAACTACCGCGATTCTGAAAATAATGATGGAAACCAAAAGATTGAAGTTTGTTTTCCTCCATTCAGCGTACTTGGAACCGTAACAATCAATTTCGAGCTGCAGCTCAATTCATCTGAACAGTGTGTGACCCCCCTTTTGTACATGTCTCAACGAAACCACTTGCCCTTTCTCAGAAAAATAAGCGTCTCATTACCATGGAAAAGCTCAGTCAGAAGTCAGATTGAAAGGAACCCAGCCCATCTGAACTCAGTCAACTTCCGAAAAGATGTAGTTTATCATGACACAGGAGTAGTTATTTCCTCCTTTTCGTTTTCGCCAATTGCGATTCGCAAAGCGGTTAGTTTTCCTATAATAAATCTAAAAGTAAAGTAAATCACAAAGTTGAAACTTTTTTGCTCAATGTAAAAACACTCATTACCAATTTTATTCAGTGTAGTGCAGTGCAGCTTCAGAACTTAGATGAAAATCAGTAGTTTGCACTTGAATATCAAAAAAAGTTTGAATTTTTGTCAAAAATCTTGCATCTGTTTTTAAATAGAATTTTAATTGAACCATTTTCACTAGTTAGGATGTGTTCCGAAAAATTTTTGTTTCACTCAAACCAAACATCTGTATATTTTGATTTATTCAGTTTGGAAACAACTGAAAAATTGACTTATTGAATACAATAAAAGTTTGCCTGTTTAGATCAACAAAACTTTGAGACCCCTAGACGACTATGACGAGAGGCGTCTGTTTGACAGTTCCAGGATGTTTTTCCTGATGAAACAAAATCCTCGACCCAACCTTGTTGGTCTGCATGAATTTATTCTTGACCTGAGAGCCTTCTATGATTGGGCAGAGCAAGATCAGTTTCGTTGGAAAGAGAATTGGAACTATGAGCCAATCACCTATGACGAATCTCAGCCAAACATTTCTATTCAATTGAAAGGTATGCAGTGAGTTTTACACTCGATATTTTTCATAAGCTGAAAAAAAAATGAAACTAAAAAAATCAAACTAGATCTCGACTTTCAAAATAATTCCTTAAACGATCGTATCAGTAAAAAGAATTTGGAGCTAAAGCTGCTATTTAACGCTTTTTTGGCTCACAAATTGTTTCAAAATTGCGTAGAGGTATGTTGGATTACAAAAACCGTAAAAAACAAAAAAAAACTCAACTCTCTTTTTTGAAATGACGTGCGCAAGGAAGATAAAAAACATTGTTTTTTTTTCGGAATAAAATCTTCATTTTTTCTAATTAATTTATTTGCAGTTAATTTTAAAAAATAAATATAATGTTGTTAGCAAAAAAAAAAAACATTTTAAAACTTTTTACTCAAATCTGTAACTCTTCCCTCAGACACGTTAGAATAACAACCTAATGACATTTTTGTTCCGACTTTCGTAACGAAAGTACCCAAATGTTTGTTCTCCGGTTGGTTTTTTTTTCTGAAAAATTTGAAGTAATTATTTTTGACGGAACCTTTTTACATCATTGAAAAAGTATTGTTGCCCTCTTTTCGTAAAACTATGGGGGTTGGCCAATTTGGTACACTTTTTTCAAGTTTTTTTCATGTTATTACTGCTCGACAGGCTTTTAAAGGCAGGTGGAACAACCAAGGCTTCGCCCTGATATGAGCAGTCTAATTCTGATTTAGTTACGCGTTCCAAAATCAATGAGAGGGTTCAATTGAATTAAGGAAATTTTACTGGACGAATCAGTTCGCCATTTGCACCACGCATGTACCACAAACCGGTAAAAGTGAAAATAAAACTTCGCAATTTCAAAAGTCATTACAATTTTTTAAAAAAAACTAATCAAAATAGCCATAGCAGTTTAACAGTTTATTTGGTGCGTAAATATCTATCAGATTGTTTGAAAACATTTTCGTCAAAATTATCCAGAGAACAATATTTTGATCACTTTCTTGAAAAGTCACCACAGTAAAAAAGACTTCAGCCAGGAAAAATTAATCAAATTTTTGACTGCCCTATGAAGTCTTTATGTTTTAACTTGAAAAATTACACATTCCATACGCAAAACCATCAGAAAAGATATTGAATTGAAACATTCAAAAAAAAAAACTAACCCGGGTTCCACACGCAGTGTCAAGTAAAAGGGTACATGCTTCAAATCAATCTTGAACGTTTTTTCAGCCGGCTACAAATACAGCTCACGCTAGCCGTTAACAAAAAACTATAAATTTTTTTCTCATGAAGCAATCAGAAAAGAACAAAACTTATCAAGAAAAACATTTCCATAATTGCTATCTAAGTTAAACACTGATTTATTTAACATCTACTTATCAATAAAAGCAAAACGCTTGTATCAAATTAGTTTCAAATTATTTTCTGATTCGGTTCAAATAGCCCCTCAACTGTTTTTAGCCATCAAAGATATCGCGTGTTAAAATCAAAAAAAGCAGCACCGCAACAAAAAATTTTTTAAGCTTCGAGCTGGAGCAGTATTATCTTTTGGATTAACTTAAAATTACCGACAAAACAGCAATTTTCTAAAGTTTTCTGACAGGAAGAGCAGGCCAGCACGAATATTACAGCATCGAAAACGTAACGAAAAGTAACGGCAAGTATTAAAAAAACGATTGATCGTGAAAACTGAATTTGGCATTAGAGGGCAGAAAACTTGTCTAAAAATGTTTGGCTAGTTCTAATGATTTAAATTTACACTGTAAACACCAGCTGTTTTATTTTTTCTATTCCCTTAAACCATTTTTTCAGATCAAGTGATTCTAATAACAAGTTATAGTAGCTTTGAGATGAATTTAAAACAGTTTTTTTTATTGCCAAGCAGACAAATGAAATACTGTCATTATTGCCAAGCAGACAATTAAGAATGAGACTCTGTCATAATCTACAAATTGCTTTTTATTAATTGATAACGTAAGATGTTGTTCTCCGTATCTTATTGAATTTAAGATGCGCTTCAAATACACATCTGGTACAAAAATCTGAAAACAAAAAAAATACTCATTCCGAGACAATTTTTTTTTGCATATTCCGTTGGGAAATTTTAGTGAAACGCTTTTGAAAAGCAGCTGAAACTCTAAGAGAGATTGCTAGTATCAGGGCGAGCTCTGAACAATTTATCTGACCTTTAAAAAACTTCAGATAGGTTAAAATGATCAAATAAAAGTGAGGCAAAAACATTTTCTTTGTTTTGAAACTGTACTACGATCACATGGAGTGCCAAGTAAAAAAATGATATGTTTTTCATTTAGAAAGTTCAAGTTTAAAAAATGATATGTTTTTCATCAGTTTTACGCCGTAAAGAATTGTTTTGCAAACCAATTATGATTACCAAATAAATAGCCTAATTATTCTACTTGCTAATTTTGACAGTAATTGTTAGGTTGGGGTCAGAATCGAAAATAGAGCCAAATTTGGTAAACCCTCATGAATGTAATATAACTTTCCGAAAATTTTCGAAATTGTAAGTTCGATCATCAAAAAAATCAAAAAATGATAACAATTACTTTGTCTTTTAATTCTGATCCCAGTGAATCAAATTACCCAAAATTGCAGTTCTTAAACATGGCCAATATCGCAAATGAAGATTACTTTTAATGTTTTTTTAACACCTGAAAAACATTGATGACATGAGCTCAAAATAGGGGATAAAATTTAATCTGCAACTATTTTGTAAAGTTCTGGGTTTGAACATTACCGCTAATACTAATTTAGCATAGCTAATTCGCGCAAAATCAAATTCCATTTGTCTTCCTATGCGTTGCTTCGGTGTCAAGTTAACCCAGCCCAGGTATTAATCCAACAATAAAAGAGATTCAATTTTTTGTTCTCTGTCGTCCAAGTACGTACCATCCACTATTAATTTTTAATCGAATTTGATAGCGATTAGTAGCTGTTTCTGGGCCATAGAAGATAAACATAACTGGTAGTTGGATGTTTTCAGAAGTTCACTTGCCGAACGCTTCAATTGAGCTATTGGACCCGTCTATATTGCCGAAAGAATTTGAGTTCTCAAAACCAAGTGTTGAATCCAAAAACTCGGAATCAGGAAACATCAGAAAGATGTCGTATCGTTTCACAAACCTAGAACAGGAACGAAAATCCGACAAAAAAGAGTGCTTCGAGTTTTCTTTTATTGGGAATACATTTCACTTTGAAATTCTTAAAGAAGAGAAACTAAAAAACCTATCCGTCACGCCAGCAATATCTGCAACAGATGTGCAACAGATTTTGCGGAAATTGGGCAACAAATGGATGGAGTTCCTGCGCAAGGAGTTTTCTATCAGTCGAATATATTCCAGCGAGCTCTACCTTCTGGATATTCAAGATGCCGTCGTTTCCCGGCTGCGAGAAAAGCCTATCGACACAATAATATTTTACAAAGAAATGTTGAGAAATAGCTACCCAGAATTGAATCAGACCTTCACTGAGATAGATCCCCAGTTCCAACAAGAAAGAAACGACAAACTTCGTCAAATTACGTCGTATCTCAAAATCGTGTTTAATTACGAAGCTACGAGATATGAAGATTTGGAGCCCGGTTATACTGAAATAAAACAAGTCGTTCTTAGTAGAATGGGAATATGGTCGCACCAAATTGGTCTTGAGATCAAAAATGCAGAAGCATTGGCTATCCACATGGTCAATATTGGAGAAGAAAAATTGAAGACATGTATTAAAAATGCATGCATGCATTTTTATTTGCTGGGCCACATTCACAGTTTTTCTCTGGAATTGCAAAATTTCCTGAATCTCGATGGAGGTGACGATGCAAATTAGTAAACTCTCAGCTGAAATAAAAAAAATCTGTCGACATCGAATTAGTTTTTAAAATTATATGTACAAATTTTCCGTCATCTACTCAATCTAGAAACAAAAAAAGTATTAAAATAAAATTAATCAAATCATTCAATTTCTGGTAGTTTCTTTCACGCATAAGCATTATTGTCCCGACTTTCGAAGAAATGCAGAATATAATTTTTAGTTTATTTTTTTTAGAATATTATTTGTAGCCATAATTGGATGTGTGTTTCAAAACAATTCTACGCTGATTTACTTTCATATGAAACGTGTGTATAAAATGTGCAACATAAAATTTTTATCAATTGCTTTGGCTGTTATTAATTTCACTCACAGCCACTCTATCGCGTTTTAACAAAAAATATCGCATTGTATAATGCCTTCCTTCATCGGTATCAGTAAGGTATCAGTTTTAGCCTTATTAAATTTCTCTATAAAATTCTTTGTGCTCCAAAGTGTTAGATTACCAGAAAAAAATCATTAAACAATTGAGTTCTTACTAAATTGCCTGTACGATAACTTGACTCTAGGCTGTATAATAAGTTGCGAATTTTCAAAATACGGCTGCTAAAAGTCCCACTCAAAACCTCTGCATCGCGTTGTATTTGTAAAAAAATTGTCGCATTGTACATTGCCTTTAAATTGTGTATTCATCTAAAGGGTTTATATGATTACTTAAGGAAAATTTTCAACTGATGCAATCTCATTAATATATTTTTAACATTCATAAATTTTTCGTGTTTCTATAAAAAAAACTCAGAATAAACAAGACTGCTCGTATCAGGGCTAAGCCTTGAATGTTCAGACTGCCTTTTAAGTTTTATGGAGCACTAATAACATTAAAAAATTTAATGTAATAAAACAAAATGAAAATATTTTTTCTAAAATTTGAAATTTTTTAGGAAAAATCATCCCCCCACACGTCATATAAAGTACAAAAAAAGATAGATTTTGCTCCATGTAACAAAACATTTCTGGCAAAAAAGCTTCTTTTAACCAATTTGGAACGATTTCTAAGACGGATTAACTCTCCGCTTACGCGTTATTAGCGCGAAATGTATCGCGCGTTAATTGTCCCAAATTGGCCAAAATGGCAATCATTACAAAAAAATAATCACAGGCGAAATATCTTTTCATGTTTCAGCTCAAGACAACAATACGTTTCGAATGATATGAAAAAAAAATCCGTCAAAAATGGCTCGTTAAAAAGTCAAAATTTGTCTGAAGAAAAAAAAATGCACGCCGAGCACAAATATTCCGTTACTTTCGTATCGAAAGTTGGAACAAAACTTTTTCTTCAAACTCCACATAGTCGAATTGTATATTAAGCTTTTTTACACCGCTTCACAAAAGATCCTGGAGCCGATACCCGAAATTCATGATATCTATTTGTAGAGTCACTTCTATGCTTATATTTTTTATCAAAACTTTTTTTCAGGTTATATTTTAGTTTTGGAAGGTACATTTCAGAGATACAGGCCATGATTTTTGACCTAGAAGCTTCCGCAACAAAAATTTCGGCCTTTTAAGTAAATTTCCGGTTTTTACTTTTAATATTTGTGAACAATAGTACCTCAAGTTTGTTTGTATCTCCAAATTCAGTTTAAACAGTGAGACTCTTACAATTTGTGCATTTTGAAAAAAAAGAGCTCATCTAGCCAAACAAAGAACGAATACGTCTTTTTTGAATTAAATACGAATCGCAGTCATTATTAACAATTGTTCTTTTTAGGCTAAGAATTAACTACTATTTTTTTGGTGAAACAAGTATTTTGCTGCCCTTTGGCCTGTACTCATAGAGTAATTCCAGATAAAGTACACCGTCTGTTCGTCACGCTATCTTATTTTGGGCGGATAGATTCATGTAACTTCTTAGTCTAATACCAATCTTAATCATACTCTTATATCTTCTAGTCTCAAAAAATCTAGTGCATACTGGTTTTCGCGAGTTAGTTCTTGGAGTTTATCCAGAAATAGAACAACTGTATTCAAAGATTTTTTCAAATTGTTTTGGTGCAGAAACTACAAGTAGTTTCAGCATTCACAAATAAGTGTCAATATTAGAGATGAAATTCGATTGGTTAGTTAGTAATATTTTATAGTGATAGTTTTTATTAGAAAAATATTTGGTTTATAAATACTAGTTCAGTCTTGGCTGATTGTGTCAAGACTTCTGATCGATGCAATGATGAATCGATTTCATCAAATCTAGAGCGAGACTACATACAGGGTGAAGTTTGACTTTTCCTAGTGAAGTGCCAAGTGACTAGGATCGGTATGTAAAATCAACATCGAGATGGTCATTGGTCTGCATCAATGGGTTTCCTTTGCTGCGATGTTGAGTCAATACTTAAAATCCTTTGAGGGTAGTGACTTTGGCAGCAAACCAAATAGATTTGCTATTCCAGAGTTGGAATGTAGTCGGGTTGCCATCTCCTTTGCTGCTCGTTTCTTGGGCTCTAAAAACTCTTTACATACTGCATTTATATAATTACTTCTTTTTAGTTAAGTTTTAGTTATGACCTAATATTATTTTTTATCGCAAAAGCGTTTTTGTTTTAGTTTGGTTATTTTAAAAAAGTCGCCCACACTAGAGCAACTCTCAGCAAATATTGAGTGTGGGTCGCAAGTAATGGTTGTAGCGCTGTTGGTTAGGCCGGCTATAGAGCATGCATAGGACGTCCCTCTGGTTGGTGAGACCATGAATGGTCTATATTTTATGGTCTTTTTGTGCAGAGTCTCTTTATACGTTCAACCTTTGTTACATTTTCATAGCGTGTTTTTCTCTTTTTTCTTTTGGTTGTGTCCTTTTTGCAAAAATAGATTTTTTTGTATTTTATTTGGTTTTAATAAAACTTTGAAGTGCTTTCCAACGATTAATTTATCCAGTTTTAACCTGGTTTGACTCCGGTTTGGTTACCGTGTGACTTTCTTTCTTAGTCATGCTATTAGTTTGTGGTTTTGCGGCGTTAGTAAGCTGCAGTGAATAATTCAATTTTTCATTTAACTTCTTCCAACCAGGTTAAAGGGAAGTTTGAAAGGTGTGAAAACAAGTTAAAGTTGTTATCAGTGAAGGTTAAAACTTGAAATTTTTTATTTAAACAATTCTTCGTGGGCGAGCTGTGCGATTGTGGAAAAAAACTGAGCAATTTTTGGGCGAGTGAAGGATTCAAAATTTATAAAAGAAGCGTATTTTGTAAAAATGTTACTTGTCTTTAATTCATTTACATTTTTTTATGAATCTACTTCATAGAAGTTTTAATTTACTGCAATGGAGTTTTCAATTTAAGAGTTTTCTGCTTTGAAAAGAAAAACTTCACTACTTCAATTATATTCTTGTTAAAACCACTTCAATTATATACACAATTGTTAAAAAGGATTTGAAAATTTTATAGAAAAGAGTTTACATTTTTTAAATTTATTTCTATTCGTTTTAGATGATTGAGTAGTGAAATTTAAAAAGAAGTGAGATATAAATAAAGAATGGTTTGTAATTTTTGAAATTTATTAGTTTTTTTCTAATTTATACTAACAAAAGGTTGTCGTTGGCCAAAATTGATTCGGAAAATGTCGGATGATGTGAGGAGTTTGGCAGGCATGAGGATGACAATTTTGGTTTGAAGGAAAGGCTATAGAAGCTCGAGTGCTCGGATAAGCTTATACTCGTCACTATTGAGTGAGGATTCTTGCGGTGTGTTTTGAATTAGGTTATATAGCTTATGGTTGTATTTAGTATTATGATTGAATTCTAAAATTCGGACTTTGATGGGCTGTTGATATTCGTGGGGGACAATTAGTGGGCGGGATTCTTCAACATCAAAACAATTGGTTAGTGGGCAGAGCACAACATTTGTCTTATGGGGTCACAGTTCCGGAAGATGCCTTGCATGCTGGTTTTTTTTATACAGTAGGTGAAGTTTAGGAAGAAAGACCAATTATAATTGGAGTTAATAAATCTGAATCTGTGTTGTGGATTTCCTGATTGTTGATTGGTGATGAACAAAGTGTAATAAGTGTATGTGTGGGTTTGTTTAGTGCGTAACATTATTTCATGTGAGCTGTGCAAGTCACATTTTTTTTGCATTTGTTATGTTCACCAACCACGATGTAAAGTGTTAAGCACACAAAAACTCCGAAAAACTATATTTTATATAAACCTCAAAATCAGAATCATTTCAGTTTCATGGGCGACATTGAAAGCGCAACAGCAAACTTTCGCAATTAAGCTTTCTCTATCAGAAGGTCAGAAAAGTTTATATTAACTGAAACTATTCAAAATAGTCCTTCATCGTTTTACTGAGACAACAACCATGAAATTCCAAATACTAGAAATTTTAATGAAACTATAACCTGAAGGTATAAAGAGAAACAGACGGATATCAACAGAGACAGGCAGAATCATCCAACCAGGTTAAAAAACTAACAAGTAGACAGAATCAACAGTATTTGATAGAAGATATAAATTATTAACAGGATTGGAGGCAACAACCACTCATATAATTACACTAGGCTGGGTTTACATTCCCATGGCTCTTCAAATCAAAAACATTCTTCGTAGGTATTTTTATCATCAACAGTTTTGAGTACACAGGCTGCATTGCTAGATTTTTTTTGTTTGCTGGTTTCTTTGTCACTAGCAAGCAGAAATTACCTAACTTGGTTTCTTTTTTTACCTGCCCTTGGTTTTTCGTTATCTGCCCTGGTTTCTTCTCTTTTTTTAAAACTATTTGAATTCCTCGGCAGTCTACTAAAATGCCATAGGACAACCGTCAAACTGTTTTGTCGCTTCTAATGTGACATGTGGAGATGTCATGGCTTCAAAGCAGCATGCCTGACAATAGAGACAAAGTCTTGTTCAAAAAAGCATTCAAAGTTGAAAGTTTTTGGAAATTTTTGCAAATTTCAGATAAGATAGGAAATTCCAACCATCTTTGGTGAATATTTTTTCCAATTTACGTAGGATTCAAATCAATTATTGCAATCTGAACTTATCTGGTTGCACTGAACACTTTTTGATCAGTAGCTTTTACTTTCCAAAACATTTAAAAAAATTTTGTTATCAAAATAGGCTACTGCAAATTTTTTGGACTTCGTTTTTTGGAGTTACTTCACCATTTGATGAATCCAACCCATGTTTCCATGAATCATTATTTGCTCGAGGCTCAAATTCCAAAAAAAATTGCTTGAAATTGTTTTTGCCACTACTGCTGAGGCTAAAACTGCGGTTGAAATAAACAAGCTACAGAACACCACAGTTACCTTTAGTTGTTGGAATAACTGCTGGAAAGTTCGGTATTTTTCATTTTGATAATAATTGTCGTCCATAATTGTTTTTCTTGAAAACCAAATAAACCGTTTGAAAAAGTTCAATTTGCAAAAACGAAGGAGTATTACGCAAAAAGAAGAGGTTTCTGCATGCTAAAGC